TTGCTTAGCAAAATAAATTCTGCTTCCAATTGTGGTCATAAGTTAAGGACTATTTGTACTGAATATAATAAACAAGCAAAAGCGCAATTCTGCTTGACCTAAACATGAATTTTATAAAAGGAAGCGTTTTGACATTCAAAATTCCTGTTTTATTAACAAATGGAAAAGTGTTAATATAAGAATGCCAGTAACTTCATTTAAATTTTCTTCCAAATAGGTGAATTAATGACTGCAAAAATTACATGGCTTTGCCCAGTGTTTGTTTGTTTTTACAACAAAACGATGCAGTTTTGGTATAAAAATACAATGCAAACCAAGCGGCAAGGAAGTAGGTTAAACTATAACAACTTAGGTTAGGGGTGTCAAACTGCCAGTCCGTTGGCCAGGTGCGTTATGGCGAAAGCACGCCCACCCCATTGCCAGCAATGGGAAAAAAGTCGTGATACGTCACAACACGTCACGTGACGTTGCAAGTTTGACACCCCTGACTTAGGTAAATAAAACATAATCTTTAGAATCCTTTCATTACGTTATAGTCCACTGCCTCTCAAGGCATAATTTCAAAAACAGATATGAGCAAGTTTGGGGTAAAATATGGGATCATTCGTTTCTACTCAATTACATTCTCTGGGGTGTTTGAGAAAATACCACACACATTCCTTCAATTTATAAAAGGTTTTATGTATCCATATATGTACTCACACAGAGATATACACAAGCTCCCTAATGTAATCAATATAAAATGGCATTTATGATCCCAACAGTACTACAACTTCCCAGATCTAGGATATGATTTGTTAATAGAAAAAGGTAGGTAGTGAGCAGTTTTAAAGTATTTGTTGTAGACATTTGGTTAAGTGTTTTTGTATTTTATTATATAGCCATGGAGAAGTAAAATTAATGTAAAAATTTAATCTCACATCTGCCATGTTTTTTTTTTTAAATTTTGATTATATCAAGTGTTTTCTCTGGACTTCAGACACTTTCTAACATTTAAAAAAGTTGAGTGCTTTGTCCACTTTCGTTTTGTATGAGCAAAGTAGTTTTAAGACTAAAGAGCTTAAAGAAGTAAATCCTGTTTTCCACCTTCAGATAAAAATTGTGGTTTCAGAGGGAATAGTGAATTCTGTTTTGCAGTTAATTTTTAATGGGTGAATTTCTCCTGTGAATACAGCAAAATAAAAACTGAGTTTGTCAGAGATATCTTTCATCCGATTCATTCTCCCCCTTCCGGGTTTCTATAATGTGGAATCTCTATAAATAATTTGCAGTCTTACACGTCTTGAGCTATTACAGATGAAATAAATTTGGATGATGCACTCAACTGTAAGCCTAAGAATAGTTAAAAGTGACTCATCCTAGGGGCTCCACTTCCCATTCTGTTTTGATTATAAAAGAAGGCTGCACGTGATCAGGACCGTGTAGTTTACAAGGTATAGTATGTTTCTTAATGTGGATTCTGTTATCAAATTTCTTTAAGTGCACCTGCACATCTGGAAAGACTGCTTTATGTGCTGCTGCCCCATCCATTTCTTTGGGACTTGTATTGGCTGAGTAGTTGGAGGATTATACTGTCTGGGAGACCTGCCAGATTAATTTGGCCAGCTGCCTGTTGTTCAATCTGGAGCCACTGAATCCCTCGGTTTCTCTGGGACCTTGCTGCCAGATATTCCATATGGGATGCCCAGAAATATAGCCTAACATTAGGGAGATTTAGTTCTCCCATATCTCCCTGGGCCCATACATTTTTAATGACAATTCTTGTTTTTTGCCTACCAAATGAACCTTGAAAAGGTCTTGTGGAGCTTATTAAAGTGTGAGGTTTTAAATTCTCAGAAACAGTTGTAGTTGATACAAGAGACTAAGGAGGGCATTTATTTTAGGAAGCTGTATTCTTTCCATAATTGGTGCAGAGAGATTCATCTACCTATCCAGATGATTCTTAACATTTGGTGGCATCAGGTTTATGCTTGATGGTCAAATGGCCTCATTAGCATCTTGAAACTAGAAGAAGGACATGTAGCCTAAAAGCCTAAGTGATTTGATCAGGGATGTTATATAAAGCATGAAAGCAGGTTCACAAGGCACCAATGTTCTATCTTTGTTGTTTTGATATAAATCCTGTTGTTTTCCAGGGCAAGTAATATAGCACAGTATAAGCAATCAGCACTGTGTTGCAGAATCACCCATAAACAGTGATCCGTTATAAATTCAGTAGTCAGATTTCATCATTTCCAGAACACAGCAGCTCCCATTCCTCTTCCAGTCAGACTGGCATCTTATCTGAAGATGCTTTGCATAAAATAATGGGGTGGGACTGATCAAGCAACTGTAGTTGGAATTTCTGTTGGAATCTCTGGTTTCCTGTTGCTAACAGCTGCTCCCTCTTGTTTAAATGCAGCAATTTCATTCCAGTATTTTTTTTTACATGCAAAGCATGTATGAATATTAAACATTACTGGTCACAATTTTGGGGTTTTTGTTTGTTCAGCTTGCTGAACAAAGTCAGCTAGTGTGATTTTGTAACCCATAGTTTATAGCTTAGCATGTGTGAGCACAGCCAGTTGTGGTTTATTTAGGAAGGCATATCTTAAGTGCAATGTGAGAGTTAAATACAACATATGATTTTAAAAAGTAGTTTATTTGCATGAGAGTAGGACAATTATGCATGCAGCATTTTTATTGATACATTTGGTGGTTTTGCTTTAATTGGTCTTTTGCTAAGCTTCCATTGATTTCAGAAAAATCATTAAATCAACGGAAGCTTAGCAAAAAAGCTAAACATAATATTTTTTAGTCACAAATGTAACATGCATAGAAACAACATAATTTCATTGCTACATTGAAATGGCCGATCTCCCTGATCACTTACAATTCCAGAGTTAATGATTTCTAATTTAAATTTTGTGGGCAGCATAAAGGTGAAAGGTGCATATGTGAAATTATACAGGTAAAATTGTAATCTGCTTACCAGATAGCAATGGGCTGGCTTCAGACTTAATCATACTTAGACTGGATTCCCTGAAATTAATGGAGTTTATATTACTCAAGATTAACTGGAATGCTTTGTTTTTAAATAATTATTTATACATCTTCATTATTGCTGTGAACTGTCCAAGTTTTGGTAAAGATGGGTGGCCATGTTAAGTTTATTAAATAAATAATTGTAAGTTCCATTGCTTTCAGCAAACCAATCCAAAGTATGCTTAAATACATCCTATGATTATACAAGCAGAACCAGAATATTTTACACAATGACAGAAGCCAACGTTTGGCAACTGATAAATTAGTTTCTGGCCTTGTTGCAAAGGCCTCCATTGAAGGAAAGGAAACATATTCCTTTGAACAAATGTGGTCCCTTGTAGTTTTCATAGGATTATGCTTCTTTACTATCACATGCCTATTAGGAAGAAATTTTCTCTGTATTCAATGGGATTTATTTCCATAAGTAGATAATTGTATATGTAATGATTTTTACATTATACTTTTAGTTTATTTCTGAATAAAACCTAAGTAGAATTAGACTATATTTTACACCAACTATAGTAGACACAGTATGAAAAATACAACTGGATTATAAATGGAATATTTGTATAAAATTTGCTGATTAACTATTAGCATTGTATGCAATGCTAATTATTCAATTTAATAAATTAGTACAAAATTTGGTACATACACAATTCAAGGAATCCAATTATACAACAGCAATAACACACTGGACACATTTAATTCTCATTTTTAAAAGGTCAGGGTGCACTCCAAAAAGATTAAATAATTCCTAAAGAGAAATCAGGATTCTTAGGTATAATCCAGAAAATATTAATTCCTTGAGAAAAATGTGGAAAGTTGAAATGTTTGAAATCTGGTTAATAGTAAAATTACATTTATATGCTGCCTACTCTCAATGACTCTGGGTGGTTTACAATTGCAGTGATTGAATGGTTAAATTCCTAACAATGATTAGGACTAGAAAAACAGAACAGAGTATCAGAGTTTGGAAGGGACCTTGGAGGTCGTCTAGTCCAATCCTTTGCATATGCAGGAATCCTATACCATTCCAGACAAGTGGCTGTCCAGTCTCTTCTTAAAAAGCCTCCAGTGATGGAACGTAGGAAATGTTTATGCACAGGAATTGCAGTTAGTATACTGGCATTTATTTATATATTTATTATATTATATATTTCTATTTCTATAGGAACTTGAGGTGATATACGAGGGAGATGTAGAGCTCAAAGCATTATTAGAGATCCCACATACCCACTTTATGGTCTGTTTCTGCTCTTCCCCTCTGGGAGAAGGTTTCGAAGTATTTCTAGCAGGCTTACTCGATTCTGTAATAGCTTTGTTCCTATTATGCCATCTGCCTGGTAAATTCGCAAGATTCATTTTTCTCGCCATGCACATGTATACATAACCCACTAGACTCTTGTTTCTCTGTGTCATATATGTGGGCATATGCATAATTCTGTATTTATTTATGTCATATTTATGCAGTGTATATTGGAGGTGCTGACCCTCAGAGAGCCGTATGCAACGAAATTTCATTTTAATGTATGCCGTTAGTGTACATTCAAAGTGACAATAAATTTAATACTCTACTTCGTTTTTTTTCTTTCTTCACAGCAACTGAGTATCATAACCCTACAACTTTTTCTAATTCACCCAGGGAACCCCCAGAGATCAGTCAGAAATCCCATCTATCCATCCACCCACTCATCCATCCAAACAGCAGACAGCTTGAAGCACCCTTTAAATTGTTTCAAAACATCGTTCGTGCTGTGGTTCACAGCGGGGGCCGTCGCCACTCAGCTCCAGTACTCTCATCTTCTCCGTTCATCGCACAGAGTTAAGACTCTTCACCTGGCAACTTCCCGGTCGCGCGGCCCGCCTCCCACGTAAACAATCGCTCTATCGCAGGAGACCTCTCCGACGAGACTACCTGAGTTCCAGCCCGCATGCGCGAGATTTCAGCGACCATTCGGGAGGCAGGAGCGGACAGCAGAGGGGGTGGGTGGCGCATGCGTGATGAAAGAACCTGAGGAAGGGGGATAGGCTGAGGAGTGCTTCCCCGCTTTGGAGATCAAAACCGATGATGGCGGCGGAGGCAACAGCGGGAACCTTACTAGAAGCGACATCCTCGGCCCAGTTCCAGGATTTGCTGCAGCGGCCGGACAGGTGGGTTCCCAGCCGCCTTTTTGCGGTTTCGAGGTTCCGTTTCCTTGAGACGGGGAAGAGCAAAGACCCACTGCCAAGTATCGGTTGCGCCGGGCTGGTACTCTGGTGGAGATTTAAATGCGTAATTCTCGTGTAGATATGACTCGAATTTCAACTTTCATTGTGGAAAGCTCTGCCGTTAAGGTTTCATGTTTTTTTATTAACCCAGCCACTCTTTGATTAAAGTTTTTGCTAGCTAGGAAATAGAAGATGGGGTCCCCAAAATGGTCCGTATGGAACCCCAAGAGGCTGTCCAGGAGATCTATATCATCATCATCATCATCATCATCATCTATAGTAGCACTGTCTATGGAGATTCTTCCGTTTGTGAGGCATCTGTGGCACAGTTGGTTAAACCAGCATTTATTAAATTATTTTCAGGTTAACAGTGTGAAACTCCATGAAGGAGTTGATGTGCTAAAGAGTTTGGGGAGCCCTGGTCTAGGGCATTTTCAGGTTACCTGGTTGGGGATGGCCAGCATGAATTGGGGAAGCTTTCCTAAGAGTAAGAAGGTAAGTTGAATTTATTTCCAGAAAAAGTACCCTCTGTTTTCTGACAGAAATGGTACTAGTGAAAGTCAATGGAGAGTCTCAGTCATCCAGGTCATAGTTATCCCAAAAATGCTTTTTCACGAGGCACCTGGACTTTCTTGTTTTTCTTTGAAGATGTTTTGGTTGGATGAGAAGCAAAATGTCTTCAAAGAAAAACAAAGACCAGTTGCCTCATGAAAAAGCATCTTTGGGGTACTGGTGGACCTGTCTCTTGATGCAATGCATGCAAACACATACACACACCCTTACATCTTTATGCAGCCTTGTTCGTTTGACCTCAGACCAGAAGATTCCCATGATTTTTTTCATCTTTCTGCAAATGGTCATGGCTTTGTCAAACTTAATTGCAGTTCGTCTCCTCATTCTGCGGGTCTCATTTTAATCCCATTCAGCATCTTTTCTGTAAACAATTAGGACATAAAGGAAAATGTTTCTGTGACTATATGGTGGTCATTCATCTGCCCATCACATCCGTCAGCCGTTAGACCTGGCGCTCTTTAAGTAACATATTCATCCCCTACTCTGCTCATGTTAGAATGATTGGGTTCTTTGGTGGAAAGATGGTGTTCAACGATGTTCAATGATGAGACAGAAGTAAAAAGGCTTTATAAGTAGTCTGGGTGGGCACGAGAACAGTGTAGGTCAATTCATCTGGGAATATTGAAGCTGAATGGAAAAGAGATTTGTGATAAATATGTTAATATGTCAAATCCCACAGATTTCAATGAAATCATGTCTGGATTCCACCTATTAAAAATACAGTGTGTTGACAGGTTGCCTCCTCTCTGTTCTTTAACTGTAGAATCTTTCTGATAAAACTCTAGTTCTTCATCATAATATTTCTTAGATAGGTTGAATTTAAAGAGAAAGATACAGATATGCTAAGAACCCTTCAAAGGAGTAGTAGTATCTCATCCTTACATTGTTTTTTTATGTTATTTATCATTAATAAATAGGTAAATCCTGTGTTGGGGATGCATACAGATAATCCTTAATTTATGATACAATTGGGTCCAGAATTTCTGTTCTTAAGCAAAGCAGTTATTATGTGAGTTGTGCCTGATTTTATGACCTTTTTTGCCATGGTTTTTAAGCAAATCATTACATAATCATTAAGCCAATGATTTTGCTTGTCAGAAGCTGGCTGGGAAGATGGCAGTGAATGGCAGTTGCATGACCTGGAACAGTGGGGATGCTGTGATGGTTGTAAATGTGAATATCAGTTGTAAGTCACTTTTTTCATTGACATTGTAACTTTGAACAGTCACTAAATAAATGATTGTAAGTCAAGGGCTACTATAGTTCCTTAGTTTCTTATGTGTATCTTTATTTTTTTTCCACTGAAAATCAAATAATTAAGCAGAAATTTGGTTTGCTACTCCAGTTTCATCTTGTTTCTTATTATTTTCATGACTGAATTGAACTAGAGAGGGAATGCATGAATTGTGTGTATTATTCCTGTAGAACTAGTTTTTGTGCTGAGCAAGGAAATATTAAAATTAAACCCTGTGATCTTGCTGAATGTAGAGTTTGGCCCCAAGGAGTCTTGCAACCTATGAATATGTATGAACATAATGGTGAGAGAAGGGCATTATCTCCTTCACATTTTAGAAAATGAGAATGAGAGCATAAAGCTGTCTTTAGGTTGGAAAAGCTGAGTTTTGCGAGTGACTCAGCAGGACAAAGATTTAATCCAAGGTATATTAATTGTTTTTCTTACATACTGGTACAGTACAGTTTTAAGAAATAGGTACAGATCCATTTTAGACAGGATTATTCCAGGTGAAAGTATAAATAACATAGTTCATTGAAATGAAATAAAAATATGTGGGGAGAAGATGTTAGAATTCTTTGTTGTATATCCTCCACCGAAATATCTTTCCAAAGATGGAATGTGTGTGTATCCCAAATGGTGTAAAAAAAGAAAATAGAAAGTAAAAAATATAGTAAAGAACAAGAAAAATATATGAAGAAATGACTTTCCCAATATCACAATAAGAGTAAACAATTTTAGTAACTTATTTTCTTAAAATGTAACAAAGATCTTTTTCCCATATCCCATCTCATATATACAAACAAATCCACAAAACTTTGTCATTACAGTTCTGATGTCAGCAAAAGTCCATTAAGAGCTACCAGAGATAACAATATATTAATTTTAACGATAAAAAAATAACTCTATATTCCTTCTTTTTACTTCTAACAACCTTGATTTTTTGTCCCTATAAAAAATAATGAGGGGATTGCAACCAGGCTGACAAGCAGTGTGCATCCTCATGTGTGCAAGCAACGGGTGAGCATGTGTGTGAGCAGTGTGCATGCACACTCCATTTGCACAAATAGAGCTGCATGTATGCTTGCCCGCTGTTCATGAGGAACCATCCCATCTTTCTCTTCCCGCTGGTCTGCAAAAGCCAGAAACGTTGAGGAACTCTGTTCTATGGTAAAACTTGTTCCTGTTCCCATAACATATTCTAAACACAGCTTATCAATAGAAGCAGGTAGTCTTAAAAATTAACTTCTGGGTCCATTGTTTAAAAATATTCTTCAGTGTATTCAATGTTAAAATATTCTGCTCCATTTTTATATTAGTAAGTCAAGTGTTTTTTTCCTTTAATTGTAATATTTAGTTCTAGTTCCTTCAATATCCTATCCTATCCTATCATTTTTTTTAAAAAAATCATTTTTGGGGGCATTTTCCCACAGGAAGGATTCTTATAATTAATTCCAAAATTTTATTTCATATCCATCTGAACCTTTAGTCTGTTTATATCTTCCCAGCCACAAAGTTCTATTCATTCTTTTGCTGTTTATTCCAAACATTTTAAAAAAATATCTTTAAACTTCTCTGTAAAATTTATTTTGCTAAGACTGAAGGAAACTCACTGGGTGTTTTCAGACTTGTCAACCCAAAGATTCCTGTTAGCGGAAAAACAATTAAAAACAGTGAAAGTGATTTGAAAAAAGAAGCACGTGAATCCAATGTCTGCAGGCACTGACTGTGGTTTGAGCAAGATGGCTATTCCTTTGCCTCCCAGAGCTCTAAACCCACTAGAGACCACTGTCTTGTCTCCTCACAAGGTGCAACTGACTGGAACACTTGGAGCTGATCTCAGGTCTTCTCCTTATCTGAAGTGGAATTATGAGGAGCTGGTCAACTTGCTGGCTCTTCATTCTATCAAGGTCACCTACTTTGCTTTTAGAGGAACTGTCTTCAGTTCACCATTTTGTCCCTAGAAGTTCAAAAAGTGAAAAAAAAAGTTTCTTTTTCATAGTTTTCTATGCAGAATATTTTTAACTACAACTGAGCGAGTAGGAGTTGGTACCAACAGTTACCTGAGAAGTAAAGTAGTACTTCCAACTTTTGTAACTCCTGCAGTTATACAGAGAATGGTTGGTTTGGAAGTCTTTGATATTCAGCTTCCCACTGAGGAGCAGCTGTCAGGGTCTATTCTTTGGCAGCAGTAAATGGGATGTGAAGGGAACGGCAATGAATGTGAGTTGAATTTGGATCAGCCTTGGGCAGAATCAATAGCTAGGCTGCAGGGAATATAGGGACTGGTAATATATCATGTCAAAATGTTGACCTGTTGCTATTGTCTTTTGATTGACAAGGGGTTCTCTTTAGGCAAAGAGGATTTTTTTTTCCCAGTGCCAAATTCGTACACTGTGCCTCTAGTTGCTTTTTACATTGTTCTGGTCTGCAAAAAAAATCTGATTACTATGTGTTTCCTTTTTTCTTATTGCAGGTCTTTAGTGGTGGTTCATTTTTGGGCCCCATGGGCTCCTCAGTGTGTTCAGATGAATAATGTCATGGCTGAACTAGCAAAAGAGCATCCACAGGTTATGTTTGTGAAAGTAAGTCAATACATGTGTGATTGCTGACTTTGTACATGCAGAACAACAACAAAAAAGTCCTGCTATTCTAAATTAAGTTAAAAAAATGTGAATTGGGGCAAGGGATTTTTGTCAACCTCACAATTATTTTCCATTTTCATTGGTGGCATATCAAATGCTTTCTTTAGTGAAAGTGAATATTTCCTAAACTCTTACTTGTAACCAGGATAAACTTTTAAAATATGGATATAGAAGGGGGGAGGGATAATGCTTGGTCATCCAGAAAATGATGCAGCACAGACTTCACTCATAAACGTCAGGATTGTGGATTGTGTCAACAGTGACATTAAAAGCGGCTATGTTCCAAGCATTCTTGCCATGCTTTATTTTTAATAGATCCTTTATAGAGGATTTTGAAATTAAGAAAGCATACAATAAGTCCTTGATTTAACAAACTAATGGGGATCACATTAGAGATGAATGTCAAATGAAAGGTAAATGGGATATTAGACGTATATAAGATGTGCATAATATATTTTGAACTCCCATCCTGGGTATAGGAATATTTACATTTTCTAATAAGATGTTTCAAATAATCAAGGAAAAGTAAGTCTACTATACATATAGTCTTGTATATCTGTGTGCTATAATACGTATACTTGGAATTAGTAAAATGCAAAATTGGTGGAAATTTTGAAATGACAAGATTTTGATAAAGAACATTTTAAAAAGAAAACTTGCCATATACTGAAATATACATAACACTTTTTAAAAAAATATTTTATGGAAATTAATTTTCCTTAAAACTTTATGAAGTATGTTATATAACCTGGTTTGTTTGGTATATCAGATTGTAAAACCATATATTGTTAAATGCATTGAAATCATTTATTTAAAATTTAATTTAAAATAAATAAGGTTTTTCTGCATTTATTTTGTGATAAAACGTTGAAGTCAAAAACTGAAGAAATTACCAACATTATAGAAACATTAAATGTTTCTGCTTTATTTCTTGCTGTATCGCTAAGGGAAGGATTAAGGCTTAGAGTGCACATTTTGCCATAGGAAGTTTATTCTAAATCAGTCTTAGTTGTTGAATATTAAAAGTACCATTACTACCAACAGTTTTTGTCACTTCTGAATCTTTGATATGCATACTTTCCTTATAGAGCAGTGGTTCTCAACCTTTTTAATGCCGCGACCCCCCCCCCAACCAGTCGTAAGTCGAGGACTACTCAACTGGTGCAGCACCGTTTGCAGAATGGGACTTTTGGCGGGCTCAGCAGGGCAGAGACAGCCTGGACAATTTCTATTGGCTTTCAAAGCCAATAGAATAAAAGGGAGTAGCACAGCTAAGAAAAAGGGGGAAAAAATGGCGGACTGCGTTGTTTGGTGACCCCCGTGAAATGGTCATTTGACCCCAAATGGGGTCCTGACCCACAGGTTGAGAACCACTGTTATAAAGGAAGAGAATGCAACATGTAGCTATTACTCCTGAAATCTGAAATAAAATGAGAAAAATAAGAAAGCCTAAGACCTAGTCTATAATGCATTCTGTGCATTCATAGGTACTATGTGGTAATACAGTGTTACAGGTTGTCCTTGTTAATGACCCCAATTATGACTGGGAATTCTGCTGCTAAGCGAATTAGTTACTAAGTGTTGTTTCATTTTGTAGAGAGGTGCAAGATTTATCCTATAGACTCCCATATAAGGCATTTCCATACTTGGATACCATCTTGATATACAGACTTCAGCTCCCAGAAGTCTCATAGGAGTGTGTTAGCCAGATACAAGCTGAAGTAGTCAGGTTTGGAGGAGAGCAAGTTTAAGAAAGCTACCCTAAGCTGTTATGTATCTAGAGTTATATATTAATCGATTTTTCATAATTAGTGGTTTTTAAAATATTTTAAGCATAGCTACTGAATGCTCAGATTAATATTTCTGGTTGTTACAGTGAATGAAAGCCAGCAGCATTACTTCTGTTTATTAACATGTACCTTCACACCAAAGTTTGTGTCTTAAATGTTTATATAGTTTTAGATTGTTTTGTTATTCAAGGATTTCATTCAGTTGTGTAGTTTTGAACTACTATATTATGTTTACAATATGCAAAGGAGTGTTTATTTGCCACTTTCAGAAAAAATATTTTGAATTATTTCAAAATACGTTCAACTTCAAAACATCCGGATGTTAATAGATAGGAAAAACACTCTTTCTATGGTCAAATAATCAGTTTTTGAGCTATTTATATTTTAATCCTAAAAGTCACCAACTCTTACTTTGTCATTATAATACATTTATATTACATGTAACAGACACAATTTGATGATTAAAGTATTATAATTAATGCTTTATTATAACTATACATTATAATTAAGGCCTAAATGTCTGTTATACTTGCTTATTTTCCATTTCCAAATTGTTCAGCATTCCCATTAATACTTTCCAAAGTGTGCAAGATTAGATCAGGACTTCTGTAGTTGTACATGGAAGCCTCATTCCAAATTGCACTTTTGCAGTTTGATATTGGATTGTCAATTTCTCTTGTCAACTTAGTAATGTGCTAATATCTAATGGTCTTTCAGGAGTTAAAAACTAAAATGTACCAGGCATCAATAGTTTATTGAAGAAATACTCCTTTTTTCCCTTCATAATTTGCAGAAGGCTGGAAATGTCAGTCATGATGTACTGCCTCTTGAAATTAGTCAATAGAGCAAACAGCAAGAATTGCTGTGGGCAGAAAATAAGCACTGTAATCATGACATAACTGGGGTCAGTGATTTATGGATTTCAATATAGTAGTAGCTGCATATGATTGAAAATTTACTAGGTCACTAGTGCACCACGAATTTTATTCACAGCCTCTAGGCATTTTTTGAAATGTGCAACAAAATAAAAACCTCTGAACCTGTTTTGACATGGCAGGCTCAGTGGATGACAAGCCTGCCCTGTGAGTTTCATTTAAATGCAAATGTGTCACAAACTTTTGCACTGAAATCCTTTTTAAACATTTAACATGACTAAAAGAACAGTGTAGACAAGATCAGCCAGTGCAGTCTAAACTATAAATAAGCTTTTGGAAACGAAATCATATTTCTTTCTTTTTTTTAAAAAAAGCTGGAAGCTGAAGCAGTGCCCGAAGTATCTGAAAAATATGAAATTTCTTCTGTTCCAACATTCTTGTTTTTTAAGGTAAACTTATTTTATTTCTTGAATTAATGCTTTGGAGGAAATACATTATTTCCAGTACTGGTTAGATTCAATATTCAGTTTATATAAAAATGTTTTATATAAAAATGCTAGAGATGTCATGATTAAGTTATATAGAATTTCTGTTTTTTAAATATTGCCTCAGAAAGTATTTACAAGAAACTACATTTCAGTTATTGTACTGTTAAATAACCATGTTAAAATCAATTTCATATCTAAGCTCATTGTGATGACTTAGTTACTAGATATTTTAGAAGTTGTGTTTTAATCATTTTGATTCTCATGCTCACTGATGGCTTTACTAATTTACTATGATTTGTGAATGGGTTTACAGAACTTCCTTCTGTTTTATAATTTGTGAAATGAACTTTACACCAGCTGCTGTATTTGAAATTTTCTTATAGCTTTTAATACGATGATATGATTTTGTTCTCTATCTTATGGTGATCATTTTTAGAAATATATTCCTGTAGCCCTTGCAAATTGTTCAAAGCAGCTACTGTCTATTGACAGAATTCTCAGAAAATTGATCGATTGGATGGCGCTCATGCACCAGAACTGACCAAAAAAGTTCAGCGTCATGCATCTAGTCTGATTCTTTCATCTGCTTCTGCTGATAATGAAAAAGAGGACTTTAACTCACGACTCAAGAAACTGATTAATGCCGCACCTTGCATGTTGTTTATGAAGGGAACGTCTCATGAACCTCGTTGTGGTAAGAATTATTTTAAATGTTTGTATAGTGGGACAATTTATTATACGATTTTGTGTTGTAAGTTTTTTTTTTTTTAAATCTGATCTCTGCTCAGGAGTGATCAACCCTCTTTTTAGCAATACTACTAGTTCACTCATTTAGCCTGGGCTCTAAATAATGGATGACACAATTGCCTTGCTACTTTAATTGCAACTATGCTACATCCAAGTCTGGTTTTCTGGGTTCAGGAGATTTAGGAGTTGTTGTTAGGTTAAGAATACTGTAGATTATTTTGAATAGAAAGGGGAACAGGGAAAGAGATAATAGAGGTTGTCCTATATGGGGTATACGAAGAAAAGGTTGTGTAAAATCTTTGCTTACAGAGATACCACTCTTGTGGACTGAAACTATTCCAACATTGGCAGATCAGAGTATAATTATTCCAGTCTCTTCTAAACCACACAAAAGAAACCTTAACACTTAAAGTAGAGTAATATTTTACGTGTGAAAAATGGGCAAATGGTTGGAGTAATTTCTTTCATATATATAACATGGATCAATGAGCCACGCAACTGGATTTCTGAGGAGAAGAAAGCTTCATCCACTTCAAGATAATGCCTGTACCCTTTAAGTTAGTACTCTGTCTGTTCCCTCTCTGCAAGGAGCTTGGAACACCTGAATATTTGAGAATCATTCAGCTAAGTATGTGTAAAAGATTCCAAGTTTGTTTATAAACTTCTATATAGCGCCTGTACAACATCTGAGTTGTATAGTAATATCTGAGTAATATCTGTTAGTGACAAAAATAGATCTCTTGTAATAATATCTAAAGGATTCATCGTTAAGGAGATTGTTGTTTGATGAATAAACCAAATTTTGAATGTATTTATCATTACCCTTCTCTTTATGCATTTTATTCGTATTTTTATTCATTTTCTTTGCTCTCAAAATATTTCTGTCTCTAATTTAAATTTGCTATGCCATTGGCTTGCCATAAGTACTCTCCTATATAAATGGTTTCTTTCAGAAATGTACATTCTTTGACTCAAAACCATTCATTTACCAGCTATTCAAAGATGCAATGGCACTGAAAAAAAATGACAACTGGTCCTTGTACTTACGACCATCACAGCATCTCCACAGCATCCCCACGGTCACACAGTCCAAATTCAGGCGCTTGGCAATCAGCATGTATTGACAATGGTTGCAAGGTTCTGGGGTCACATTATTGCCATTCACAACAATCCCAGCTGGCTTCCGACAAGCAAAGTCAGTGGGGGAAGCTAGATTAATTTAATATTGTGTGATTCACTTAGCAACTACAGTGATTCACTTAATAACAGGGGCAAAAAGGTCATAAAGCTGGATGTGATTCACTTCTTTGTTTAGCAATGGAAATTCTCATTCACATGCATTGAGTTCAGTTATTGAGTTTAGTTTAATACTGATTGATAAACTATGCATGCATACTCATTCCAGAATAGCAAGGACCAGAAAATAAATGAATGTGAGGAAGAGATAGGTTTTAGTTATTCCTTGGCTGCTGCTGTATCTGTGTATAAATCTCATGCAAATTTATAACAGCAGCTTAACTATGTTTTGGCTCTTACTTCCTCAGGAAGCTTATAAAAATAGTTATGAATGTATATTATAAAATTCTCTAGATTGCCTTATAAACACTGCATAACCACTTGCAAGACAGGATATCAGTTACATAGAGTTACTTGTTCTAAAGTTCCTAACAGATTGTGTCCAGGCTAATTGCCATAAGAAAGACAATGGTTTGCATTTGTAACTGAGGGTAATTGATCATTGGAACCAGCAATCCTTATTATGGCTGGTATTTTATCACTGCCTATGTAAAATCTATTTACTACAATGTTACATTTCATCTGTGCCCTAGGTCTCTGCTTATACCATGTTTTCTTGAAAATAAGACCGGGTCTTATTTTTTTTTGCCTCCAAAAGAGCAACCAGGTCTTATTTTCAGGGGATGTCTTTTATACTCACCTCTGGCACCGACAGTCCCGCCTATCCGGTCCACTTCTTCTGCAGCCGAAGGAGCAGCTTCATTCTGCAGCTGCATTCTGGCCTGTGTTTTGCAGTCAGGCCTTTCTGGAAGGCCTCTGCAGCCGAGTACCAAGCTATGGATTCAATCCATAGTTCGTTTCTCCGCTGCAGAGGTCTTGCAGATTGAGGTCTTGCAGTTTGAATCCATAGCTCGGTACTTGGCTGCAGAGGCCTTCTGGAAAGGCCTGTGACTGAGAAATGCAGGCCTGGCTGCAGAAGATGCCACAGAAGAAGTGGGTCAGTGAGGAGAGGCCTGGCTGCAACGGTAAACGGGTATGGGGCATGTGGGGCAGCTCCACATACCCCTATCGTAGCTTGACTTTTAGGCATGCACGTCACCCCAAACTAAGGCTTACTTTGGGGGGTAGGGCTTGTATTAGGCCCACCTCCAAAAATCAAGCTAGGGCTTATTTTTGGGGTAGGCCTTTCTTTTGGGGAAACACGGTAGGTGTTTTGCTTGCTGTTACTAATATTATACAACTATTATACATAACTTTCTATCTCTTCCAGTTTATATTCTCATTATGCAGCCTTGGTCTTGGTCTTAAATGTACGCTTCAAACATGCTTTCATTAGCTTTTGTATTGCTCAGATTGCATTGGTTTTAAAAAGTCAAATATTTTGTTATGGGAATAAAGTAGTGTTGGCACTTTATCCCTAAGCATAATATTTTCAGCCTGCTACTTTAACCCTTAAAAATGAAGTCCCATCAATCAATCTTTTTGTCTGTTTATAGTTGCCTACAGCTAAAATAAAGTGCTCGCTCTCTTTCTTTAGAAGCCTCTTACTGTAGAAATGAATTAATATATTGGTAGCATAATAACCATCAGCAATCACCCTGTAGCTGTTTACTAATGAACTCCCAGATGAATGGGGAAAGAAGGGAGATCAGGATCCTTGTTTCACTCGAGGCAGTACAAGAACTTAATGCTTCAGTTGTATGAAGAAAAGCAACTTATACATCACATAAATAAATACTGTTCGCTCTTGGCTCAAAATGCAGATTATGAAGACCTCAAGCTACAGTACAAAACAAAAGTAATGGGAAAATTTGCCAGATAAAAATCTTGTATAGGTTCCTTAGAATGTGCACTTATTTTAAAACTGTCATAATATATCTGGTGTCTTAGAACTTTCTGTAAATTGGGCAATATTTTTCAGATACCATGCAAAGCTATGAATATATAGCAACACACGTAGACACATAAGGAAGATTTCTGTTTTGTAAGGAGAAAATTTAAATATAGTAGACAATTGATTATACACACATACATATGTACAATATATAATCAGTTTTCTAGGTAGTTTTATTATTTTTGTTTAAATGGAATTAATAGTAAAATAACATGTTTGATTCTGAAATATAAATATGAAATGTCACAGTTGTACAGTAGGGATTAAGGAGATGGGTAAGTGATCCTATCTCACTAGGCCCTTCTCCTCCTATGCTCTCCACTACTTGGCTAATGCTCAGTTTTATACCTTAAATTATTAAAATGTTTGTTAATTGACATTAAGCAAGAATTCTCTGGTTGAGGTCAGCTATGAACTCTCCATTAATGTGAATATATTTTCAATAATGTCACAGCTGGGGAGGAAGTAAAACATGTTATCGGGTTGATAATGGTGCCTGGAATATAATTATAGAGTTGTGTAGGAACCACATACAATATAGAATAACAAGGTTGTAAGGGACCTTTAAGGTGTTCTACACTAACTTCCTGTTCAAGCTGGAGATGACATTCTGGACAAATGTTTGTCTAATCCCTTCTTGAAAACATCCAGTGATAGAACACCCACAACTTCTGGAAGCAAGTTATTCCAATGATTAATGTTCTCACTGTAGGAAATTTCTCCTTAATTCTAAGATGGATCTCTTTTTAATGATCTTCTACCCATTACTTTTTGTCCTGCCTTAAGGTGCTTTGGAGAATAGGTTGACCCCCCTCTTCTCAGTGACAGCCCCTCAAGTATTGGAAGACTGCTATCATGTCATCCCTAGTCCTTCTCTTTATAAGACTAGACATATCCCTTATCTTACCATAATTTAATTTTGTGGGAGACTTCTTTTAGTTAAAGATCGATACAACCTCATTAAAAATTGTGCTTTTTTTTTCTTTTTGTCTCTTTCTCTCCCCCCACATCTTCCAGGTTTCAGCAGACAAATGATAGAAATTCTTAACAAACATAACATTGTGTTTAGCAGCTTTGATATATTTTCTGATGAAGAAGTGCGCCAAGGTCTAAAAACATACTCCAACTGGCCTACTTATCCACAGTTATATGTAAACGGAGAGCTTATAGGCGGACTGGATATTGTTAAGGTTAGGAACTAAAATCATCTTTCTTTTTTTAAAACAAATCTAATTAAAAATATTTTTATAAATATAAAATTATTGTATTTTAGGAGCTTGAGGCTTCAGGAGAATTGGATACAGTCTGCCCTAAGGCCCACAAATTAGAAGACAGGTATGATGCATTTTGTTTTCTGTTTATTGTAAAGAAGAAAATGGGTATATCCCATTATTGAATTTAATTGCTGTCCACTTTATAGTATTGTTAGTTTTCTTTTTTATGCTACAGAAGAAAAGTTTACAGAAATGTGTATTATGTGCATAAGCATCTTTTTTCTTTTTAGTGTTTTTCAGTTTGATTTCTTTTTTTCTATACCTATTTAAGTGTAAGAATATTAATTGCTGTTCTATAAAATGATGATTGCCAACTCAGATTAGTCCCAACTAGCTTGGTCAGTCATCAAGGATGGAAAAAATATTGTCTGTATTCATTCGAAAACTGATAAGTTATTATTTTCTATACTAATGGCTTAAGGAGTCTTTATGTTCAGTTCTTTCAAGTACAAACACTATAATTTTCTAAAATTCTTCGAGATAGCATGACTTACATAAAAAAATAGTTATGCAAAACATTTCTAGATCAAAATAGTTTTATCCCAGAATGTTCCATTCTGAGGTTTTGAAGAGCTTTTGTCCCTACTTGGAATGACATGTTCCAGTCAGAAAAATGGATTTTGAGTTGGGAATATTTCTAGTAACTTTGCTGTCATATTGTAATAGTGCTTGTAAGACTGAAATTGATATTCTGGTGTAGGAATCTTCTTCATCTCATTTGTGGAAGTTCCCTTTGCCTTCATCATTTTGACTAGGTGTCCCCAACCCCCTGGGTTGTGGCCTGTTACTAGGCTGCAGCCTGTTCAAAACCGGGCTGCAGAAGTGGCAGATGAGTGTGCACTCCGCTTGCGCATGCAACAGGTGGGTGAGCGTGCATACGCAGCTCTATTTGTGCGAGCAGCAGGTGCATGTCCCATCATGTGTATATGGAGCTGGGCATGTGCGCTTGCTGTGCTCCTTGTGTAGAACCATCCCCTCTCTCTCCCACCACCAGTCCACAAAGCTGGGAAAGTTGGAGACTGATGATGTTGACTATACATAGTACTAGGCACAGATTTGCTGAGATTTTACCATTATTTCATTACCCGTGTATATTAGCGATTTTCATTGTTAACTGCCATCACAGAGCCAAAAATCTTAATGCTTGTTAATTAAAATAGCTTTACTGCAGGATTCTAACAAGGCAAGAGTATAGAAGAAAAACATGTCCCATTATTTATGAAATCTACTTGAATAATCATGATTATATTAGAAACTGAATAAAGTTGACAAAAGTGGTTTCAAGGTACTAAAGCATCACCGCTATTCTTTGGATTATTGTGAAGTAATTCCTACTACGTTAAGTAGAGATTAAATGCTGTGATTCTGGCTGGAATTCTGAGGAAAAAAAAGTCTGTGCATGAGAATCCATTGCTAGCCATTTTTTTTTAGAAATTTGTATCTTTGTTATTGAAATAATTGCCTTGAAAAGATGAGATGAACCATATCTGTTTCTTTATTAAACTTTGTTGCCCATTTTTAAAATAAATGTTACATTTTTCTTTGGCTAAACATTATTATAAATTCATGAGAATTATTGGAAGTTACTACTTCTGGGTATGTTACATTAACCTTATTTGCAAAAACACACTAAATGTTACTCTTTCATGCATTTATAATATAAATCAGTAGTTGTAAATAGCCAATTTTAGAGATTCTTTAAAGTTATATATGGAAAAGTATTGGTAGAAAATAATTTTAAAAACCATATCTTGTTATGAGAGAAAAATAAGCAAACATTAAATTGTTGAAAGAACAGTGACACATTTCAGTGAAAATCTATTTTTGATCTATATTCTCTTACAACATGTCGTGACGTATTGCACCTTTTTCCCTGTTGCTGGGAATCGGGTGGGTGCGGTTTCAGCATGACACATCCGGCCCGCAGGCCGGCAGTTTGACACCTCTGTCTTACAAGTTAATGTTCAGATTTTATCAATCTTTTCCTTTTCCAGGCTCAAAGATTTAATAAACAAGGCCCCTGTGATGCTCTTCATGAAAGGGAATAAACAGGTAAGATTTGTAAAAATGTTTTAGCTTGATGACCATTGCAGCTTATCACAATAATGCATTACAGTGAGGGGAAAAATTATTTGATCTCCTGCTTTGTACATTTGCCCATTGACAAAGAAATGATCAGTCTATAATTTTAATGGTAGTTTCATTTTAACAGTGAGAGACAGAATAACAACAAAAAAAAAAATCCAGGAAAACGCATTTTAAAAAAGTTATCAATTGATTTGCATTTTAATGAGTGAAATAAGTATTTGATCCCCTATCAATCAGCAAGATTTCTGGCTCTCTGGTGTCTTTTATACAAATAATAAGCTGAGATTATCTCAGCTTGTTGCCTAAATAAAAGACACTTGTCCACAGAAGCAATCAAATCAGATTCCAAACTCTCCACCATGGCCAAGACCAGGGGTAGTCAACCTTGGCTTTTTTATGACTCGTGGACTTCAATACCCAGAATTCCTGAGCCAGCTTAGCTCAGGAATTCTGGAAGTTGAAGTCCACGAGTCATAAAAGAGCCAAGGTTGACTACCCCTGGCCAAGACCAAAGAACTGTCCAAGGATGTCAAGGACAAGGTTATAGATCTACACAAAATTGAACTCAGGTGATAATTAAAGTTGCAGTTTCACTTACCAACCACTTCACTTAATGACCTAGTTGCCAGTTCCAATTGTGGTTACTAAATAAGGACTACCTGCAACCATGCTTTCATGTGTAGTTAGGTAGATAGACATGTAGAAAGTTCACAGTGGACTATACTGCATATTTGATAAACTGGTATAAATATTTTGAAGTGAGGGCTGGGAAAAAAAATCCTCTTCTGGTTTATTACATGATGTAGGTTTCTGTGTTAGATGTTAAAGTCAAATGTACTAATCAGGATTTTCTGACATGTTAATTTTTAGCATGTTCTTGTTTCTTTCTTTCTTATCTATGAACTGTTCCAATCTGTTGCCTTCTAATATTTTAGAAATTAAAATAATGATATGAGTAGTAATCCACTGTCTCTTGAAGATTTCAAGTTGGAAAATGTAAACATCCAAAAACTATCTTACATTTTTTAAATCAATTTGCCAGAAGTCACAACTTTAAAATTTATAGATACGTGTTAATATAGTAGAAAACAATGGTTTGTACTTTTATTCTTATTTTAGATGGCAAAGTGTGGATTCAGCAAGCAGATTATAGAAATTCTAAATAATACTGGGTATGTAACTAATGTATTGTCTTAAATCATGTATTTTGTTAGGGCACCTAATCCTAACCCTAACCTCCATTTCCATTCATCAGTTCTGTTGGTTCTCTCAGTGGCAATCTGCCGAACTTGGACTCTAATTGTGTCATCTCAGTAGTCAGTTTAGGATTGTAATGCTAATCTTGCTAACTATATAATCAGAATTAGATCTCATGTTCAAGATCTTTTGTTCATCTCTATCCCGCTTAGATTTTACTTTAAATCCCCTTGTTCAAGTTCAGTATGCTTTGATTATATGTTCTAACCACTCTTTCTTATTAAGTGTTAGGATTGTTTTTTAAAATTTCTCCAATTAGATTTACCCAGACTCAAAAGAGCTGCAAAAGCAATGAACTCTGGATAGATTTTTTTGGGAAAAAAAATCTCCCTATAAGGGTTTGGGAGTGTTTTACTTGGAAAAATAAAAACAAAGTATAAATTATGAAACTTGCTAGTTTATATGTGAGTGTTGTATACAGGTATTCCTCAAGTTACGACAGTGCAGTTAACGATTGTGCAAAATTATGACATCTGTCTCAAGGTTACACATGTTGCAGCACCACATTGGTCATTCGGCCTTACGACTGACTGCAGAGATGCTGCAACATACCCCCTGCCTATTTCCCCCCCATCTTGCCCCGCCAGGTCTCCACAGACTGGGCCTGCTTTGCTAGAGTCCCGGATTCCACATACTCTTCTCCGTCCCATTTCCCATATGGCTTTACTGTACTTGCTTTTCAAAAAGCTGCAGAAGAGGCTGATCCATGTGGCAGAGAAGCCAAAGTCTTTTATTCAGAAGCTGGTGAATCTGTAAGAATGTGAGATGTAAGGAAAACAGCTTTGCCCCATCTGAATAAAAGGCTGGATCCTCTGCCATGAGGGCCTGCAGGCACGGTTTGGGCCCAGTCTGACCAGTGCTGAGCAGCCTCCTCCTTGCCGCTAGTTCGAATGAACAACTTCAAGGATTGGGGTAACAACAGCCAATCAACGAGGAGTTGATTGCAGTTAAACCCTAATGAGACAAAGGAAGCAAGCTCCCTGTTGATCAGCTGCTGCTGCCCCAATCCCCTAAAGCTGTTTGGAAGAAGGAGGTTGCTGTGGCCCTGCCCAGGCCTTTTCTACTACTGTGTTTCCCTGAAAATAAGACCTGGTCTTATATTCTTTTTGCCTCCAAAAGTGGCACCAGGTCTTATTTTCGGCAATGGGGGGTGGGGTTGGGTCTTTTCCACTCACCTCGTGGCACCAAAAGCCATGCCCAGCCGGCCCACTTCTTCTGAGGCTGAAGGAGCAGCTTCATTCTGCAGCTGAGAATGGAGCTTCGGCCTGCATTTTGCAGTCAGAGGCCTTTCCAGAAGGCCTCTGCAGCTGAGAACTGAGCTACGGATTGAATTCATAGCTCAGTTCTCGGTTGCAGAGGCCTCTGACTGTGAAATGCAGGCCAGGGGATATTGTAGAAGAAGTGGGCCGATGAGGAGAGGCACCCTTGCCCTTGCTTGATTTTTAGGCATGTGCCTCGCCCCAAAACTAGGGGTTTTTTTGGGGGGAGGGGAAGGGCAGGGCTTATATTAGGCCCACCCTCAAAAGTCAAGCTAGGGCTTATTTTACAGGTATGTCTTACTTTTGGGGAAACACAGTACCAGAGGCCTGCTGGCCACATGGCCCGAAGCTGATGTCTTTTACTCAGAAGTTGGCAAAAAGGTTTTTCTCAGATTTCATGTTTTTACAGTTTTGCCATCATCTGAATAAAACACTTTGGCTTATCTGCCAGTGGGTCAGCCTTTTCTGGAGCTCTGGATATCTTCAAAAAGTAAGTAATACATGGGATATGGGGCAGGGAGGAGTAAATGGAATTTGGGACACTAGCAAACCAGACCCAGTCTGTGGAGACCTGGCTGGGCAGGATGGGGGGGGGGAAGCAATTGTGAGGATCCCAGGAGAGCATGATGTATGTCAGTGGATGGGGGAGGGCTTGAGTGGCCTGCTCCAGCACCAGGCCCCACATGCTCTTCCTCACCCTGAGATATCTCAAGTGCATTCAACAACGTGTGCATTCAATTAGCGAATGCATTGGGGAAAGCAGGGAGTGATCATGTTCATTTAATGTGATTCAATCAAACGAATTATCGGATTACAAATGTAATTGGCAGGCTCTATTACATTCCTAACTTGAGGATTACCTGTATAGCCTCTAATTCCAGAGGTCACCAACCTATCCCAGAGGTCACCAACCTTTTTCAGTTAGCGGACTGGAGGGAAAGGGAGGGGGAAGCATTTTACATGTGCGTGTGTAAGCAAGCGCACATTGCAAATGGGGCAGGGCTAGCACCTATGTGATACTAGCCCTGTTTCCATGCCCCATGGCGCAGCACCACCAATTATTGCGTCCCGCAGCACGGAGACAGCCTGTTTTCACATCCTGTGGCACAATGGCATCCCGTTTTTGTGCTCCAAGGCAGGGCAGTGCTCTGTTTTTACGTCCTGAGGCACAGCAGCATTCTGTTTTCGCGCCATGCAGTGCAGCAGAGTCCGATTTTCATGCCCTGGGGCACGGCAGCGGCCTGTTTTTGCACCCCAGGACATGTCATCCTGTTTTTGAGTTGCGGCCGTGGCCCATTTTCGCCCAGGTTGCGGCCCTAGCACATGTGGGGGGTGCTCTATCCTTTGTTACTATATTATCCTATATTGCTATAGCAATCACTGTTACAATAGTATTATCTATTTCATAGTAGTACTATTATATAGTAATGTTTTCTTCTTAAAAATATTATTCTGCCTTAAATTTCTCCCTCTGGAATTTCTTCTGCTTTTTTCTTTTGTTACTTTTGTTACTGACCAGGATACTTGCAACTTTCTATGTTGTGTTTTTATATTATACTTTTCCTTGCTTTTCCCCTGGACCATTCACTTGGTTTAAAGGAAAAACACTTTCATTTATTTGGCTGTTTTATTCTGTTTGCTGGTGGCTGCAGGGCTGCCAAAAGAAATGTCTCCTCCATTCACCTTCTGCACCTTTTCAAGCTTTATTGGCAATTTTGCCATGTTGACATTGGGGAGAAGCTCAAACAGAAAGGAAGAAGGTAGCACAGATGCTGGCATTTTTTCTAAGCAGGTTGCTCCTTGAGAGTAGGCTACCTTTCAAAACTGTTACTATTTATTTCTAGGTGAAATAATAAGTTTCAATATCTTTTTTATTTAGTGTGGATTTTGAGACTTTTGACATACTGGAGAATGAAGAGGTATGTTGTTGATATGTAACTCTCTCATTACTGAGTATAAAAATCTATAATGTGGAATATTAATTAAGTCTACATTTCTTAGGTGCGGCAAGGATTAAAGAAATATTCAAATTGGCCAACTTACCCACAGTTGTATGTGAAAGGTGAACTCGTCGGAGGCCTAGATATTGTTAAGGTGAGAAAAGAATTATTGAGAAGTTTGTAACCATTTCATTTTTAAAAAATAGGTCTCTGTTTATCCATTTTGATATATTAGTTGATGCTCGGATTTATGATGTGTTACTTAATTCCATAAGTGTTATTTTAATGTCTTAAAAATTTGGGTCCAGTATTAAAGTTAAATCAGTGGAAATAGCTTTATCACATTTTATCAAGGCCATATTATTCCTGGTCAGTGAGAAAGTATACTCACATTATGGAACATCTACCTCATATGATAACTTTGCTTCCCTTTATTCATTAATTATATCTTCTTTATTCTTTCAACATTATTGGCCAGACTGGTGGTTTTTCTTTTTCAGATATGATGGATTATCTTAATATCTTTTATACTGATTTTATACTGCTATATGGTGTTTGATTTTAATTTTATTTGTGTGCTGTTCCAATAAATATATCAAAGCTTTTCTTAGTCTTCCTGCCTGAAAAAAGATGAACCTGTTTTAATGAATTGCAGAGAGATGTACAAATGCAAAGTCTGGAGCCTTTTATCCAGATCATTTTTGAAGCATACACTGCTTAATGCATGCATACTGGAAAGTCAGGCTATGGGTTTTACAGATAATTATTTCTTCACTGCCCAGCTGCCTATAGTTTGACCTACTTCTGCAGTACCTCTATAACCATTATATAGACTTCTTCTTGTCATGCAAGACTATATGTGACTAACATTTAGTAGATGGCTAGTTGATTATTATATGCAAATGCATAAATTGCATTACTTTGCACAAGTTTATTTCTGGTGCTTTTGACATTTGAAACATAATGTCTTAGAGGTTTTTTTTGTAACCTATCATCAGCCTAATATATTGCTGTAAAACAAACCCTTACTTCTTCATTCAGTGGTTATACTAATAATAGTAATGATATGTTGTTTCTTGACATCAATCAGTTATTTGTTCTAAGAACTATCTCTTCTTACTCCCATGGGCGTATTTAAAGATACTATTTGGTTTTTAGCTGTAATCTTTAACATTATTTTTTTTCTCAAACAATATGGTGTTTTGCAAAAAAAGTGTCACATTTCTGAAAAAGAAGGTGAGATTTTATTGTATACTTTTAAAAATGGCCCTGAAGGAAAAAATAGATTTGTATTTCTTGCTCCATCTTATATTTGTGTGTGTGTGTGTGTGTGCACAATGAACAAGCATTGACTTCTAAACCTAAATTCTCTGGGGTCTATTCTTGTCTTCAGTGTTTTATAGCCAATATCAAAGTCATTGTATGTCCTGAGAGGTAGAATCAATAAGTCTTATTAGTTTTTTTTTAATAGGTTTATATTATTTAGCTCAGGTAGTTATTTTTTTAAAACAAATGTTCAGCAGTATACTGCATTCAAAGATTATACACTGTATGGTTTTAAAGAATGTAAGATATGTTCACGTTCATTACATGTAGATTCTATTACTTTTCCTTACATGACACAATATGTTTTGAGGCCATAGGAATCAAGATGAATCAAATGATAGAGTTCACATTTTAATCATTTTGAAAATCTACTGGGAAGTATTTTTCATCGACAGTATCATTTTCTTATTTTCTAGATCTATTTAGCAATGTTCGATAAAAATTCCATTTTTGCAGGTAGAATCCTGTGATTTCTTTTTGGGTTGATTTTAAAAACCATATCTTCTAATTGCATTTATTAAAACTATAATTACGGCTTGAATTATTTCAAAAACAGTTGTTCTACATTATTACCTCCCCCCCCAGCGTAGAACATTTCACAGGTTTCTTTATTTTCATTAACATAGAAATTTCTCAGAATTTCGTTAACTAGTTATAAGCCTTGGCCTGTAATTTTTTTTTTAAGTCAGTGTTTTTTGCTCTGAATTGTTCTTGCAACCAAAGATATAATAAAATACGATTAACAGTACCCCAAAGAAGCATGCTTACGACATTTACCCTTTTCCATTCTTGTGATGTTCTAGGGAAACATGAGTAGGAACAATGCAAGTGTAGAATGTCTTATAGTAAGTAGTGGTAATACTTTCTAATGTTTAAGTCCCAGAAAATTGTTGCTGTTGTGAATTACAGTACTGGATTTAGATCATGAATGTTCAGCCCTTTGGCTTGCCTGGGCTGGATTGAGTGAAGTGGAATTGTCTTGGGCTGCATAAACATATAATATAGACAATGTAGATAACCCATAATAAAGTTTATGAAATTATGGGGCTGTATTCTAACTGTCCAGGGCCATAAGAAACCATGGACCATGGGTTGGACAAGCCTAGTTTACCTGATCTAAAGCAAGATTCATATCTGAGGCTGGGAAGACTCCATGAAGCTGTGCCAGATAAGATTTTATAGTTGAAATATAGAAAGTTTATATGACAGATTTCTAAGATACATTGGTAGATTACCCCGTTAATGAATAAAACAGCTATAGTCACCAAACTTTATGGATCCAACTTGCTTTTTTTGGTAGAGTTTTTGTAATCGTATCAGTCTCTGAATGTTTTCTCCCTTTCTTCATCCAGGAACTAAATGAATCTGGTGAGTTGTCATCTATCCTGAAAGTAGAAAATTGATGCAAATGAAATACATTAATCAAGAACAACAGAAATACAAACATTGTTATTGACATTTGCACTGGAACAGGTTACAACAGAAAAAACAGAATTGCAGGTTTCTGACTTCCGTTTCATCCTTTATCAGGCCATGCTAGAGAAGTATGTAAATGTAGAATTTCATACAACTGTAAACTTGTGAACATCTTCAAACTGAATTAAAATTGAAGTTCAAATATGTATCTGAGTACTTTAATTTTTCATTCAAATCACACAAGCATCTAGCTGTCCTAGCCCTTGTTGAACTGGTAGATCTGCTCACAATTATATAGACATTGAACTTTCTAATGTTGTGGTCTGGTGCATGTAATAAAAACATTATGGTGGTCCAGTCAAGTTCAAGAATGAAGATTCCATCCTATCAGAACATGAGCCATATCGTTTTAGTCATATTTTAAGTAATCTGGCTAAAAGGGCCATAGTATAAAACACTTAGGGGCTTTTCCTTACTTCATTGATTGGTAATTTAATCTGAATTATCTATCTCTTACTAAATTTGTGCTTGAATAAAGAGCAATAGAAAGTAGAATCCACTCTTAATAAGAAATAGGTGCTGAGCATTAAGAGAAATATCGGCTTGATTTAACGTAATGCTAAATTCTAGATAAATTCTAAATTATTAAGCCACACAAAAGGATTAAAAACAAGTCCATGTACTCCCAAAAGAATATAAGCAATAGTGGCAGTGCAGCAGGAAACAGCATTTTCTGCAGCAGAATATTTTATCAGCACATTCCAGCTGACCTTCAAGACAATGGTCAAATATCTGCTAAATTACAGAAGAAGCCTAGAATTTATTAATTAGTTATATTTATATAACTACCCATTTCACAATCAAGTAACTGGAAGCCTGGAATTGTTGATACATGTTTTGTAGGTTCTGATTGCTGTAAATTGTAATAGGCCTATCTGCTATTATAATTGGCATCATTCTTGCCTGCAGTCAAATGTCTGCAGAAGATAAGTTCCTACTGGTCTAAGACTGCAATAAACAACAGAATTGCATTACATCTGAGAGCTTGCTGCTAAATAAATTGTGCTAGGAATCTTCAGAGCTTAAAAACATGGATGCTGGGCTGAAATGTAACATTGAAAGCTTAACAGGTGCTTGAAATATAGAATATTGGTGCAAAAGAAAATGGGAAGCCAGAGGAATTTATGAGTACTTTGGCTGGACTGCTACATTTTTGCACATTCTTCTGGTATTCATATTGGGGATTTGCAGAACATATAATTTACTTTCCAGCACTTACATTCTGTGTGCTAACCATGCTATAGACATTGGGTCTCCCATCTCACAAACATTTGGGTCAAAGGGACCTGTAGCAGAGTTTGCCTGGATAGGATAGGCAAACTATTTTTAGGAGATTATTCCCAAAGCATCTTCTGCGGTAACTAGTAATATGGGTTAAACTGTTGATTCTCGTCTTTGAATCTCTGAGATGCCACATTCTGTACCTATTTCAGTTTCTGAGTGAAAGGCTGCCCTGACAAAGCTCATTGCAGTAATCCAATCCTGAAGTAATAGACCATTGTTAGGCCCTGCTTGTGAACAATAAATGCAATAGTACCTTAAAGAACTTTAAAACTGTATAAATATCATTGTATTAAACAATATAATGTATGAAGATTTCTAACAATATATAAAAGAAAAAATGTATTTTGCTATGATTCAGTTTCAACTTGTTCTGTCTTATCCAGTCACTTAGTGCTTCCAGACATTGAGTAAGGAGATCCATTGCACCTCCTGCTTGATTCTGTAGGGAGAAATACATCTGTATGTCATTTATATATTGATAACTCTCCAAGCTCGCAGGTAATTTCACCCAATGGTTTCCTATAGATGTTAACATGGGGGAGAGACCTAGCCCTGAGGCATCTCATGTTGTAGTAGTCATGAGTTCAAATGCTCCTTCTTCATCTTTAAACTGGAACCAGTAACTAAATAAAAAGTGGAACTATTGCAACAGAGTTACCCCAACTCCCAACTGTTGTAGGCAATCCAGAAGGCTATCAGTAGTAAATACTGTTGAGAGACCTAATAAGCCAAGAGACCTGTGCTCCCTCTAACCAAGTCCTGATTAAGATCATCCACGAGAGCAATTAATGTAGTTTCATTCCAGGGTCTTGGTTTTCAATCCGATTAAAAAGAATCCAGCTGATCTACATTATTCAGATAGCTTTATAGCTGCAGTTCCATCACATCCTCTCAAATCCTGCTAAAAAAAGGTGGAAGATAGCTAAAGATGTTGGGTTTTAAGATGGTGTCTACAGTCAGGCTGATGATATTTTTTCGTTTAGTCATTAATAACATGAACCTAACCCTTCCACTCACCTTTGGCTGCCCAAAGAAATCAAGTGAATCAAGGATTCAGTCTACAGATGGATAACTCATGCAAAGAATCCATTTCACTTCTGACTGCACAAGATCAGAGAATCCCAGATCGTCTCACAAGTAATCCCACTTACTTTATTTTGTCCTCCCTGTGTAAAAAAGGTACCTCCAAATATGAGTAATTTTATCTACAATATGTTTAGCAAATCAGAGCAGACTGATAGACATAGCCCCACTAATATGAGGATTAAAGAAAACAGCATTGCTGAGTGATGTTTTGTCAATGCAATATAGACAGAGAAATACTTTTTGCTGTGCTTATCATCAGAGTCTTGTCCCCAGCCTGAGCTCATAGGTATGGCTAGCTATGTCCTTTGTCTTTTGATACTAGTAGTCCAACTATTTTTCTGCTATGCATTGTTATTCCTTGGTAAACCTAAAAGCCCCTCCAGGATTTGATGTCATGATGAGGCTGCTTGAGGGCAATCCTTTTTAATGGTTTTCTGGCCTTATTTTCGAAGCCAAAAGACTTGTGGCATAGCTGCCAGCCATTAAGAAAATCACTAAGTACTGAGCAAATCCATGAAGTATATAGTATGGGCCATCTTATTCAACCTTTCATTTTTATGACCCAAAGATAAATAGGCCAACATGTCCTAATTATCATCTCAGATTGATGGGAAGTGATCTGAAACTGGAAAACTTGTCATCAGTCATTTGACATGGTCAGATTTTAGTTTTCATGGACGTCTGAAATTTCTGGTCTGCCTCTGATTTCTCTCTCAGCACATAGATATCAAAGTCTCCTAAAATAACAATCGGGAAAAATCCAGATATTAACATCATTATGTTATCTAGGATCTCAGAAAAAGATGCTGTTTGGCAACTGGTGGGAGTACACCAGCAGAATCCATAGTTTATCCCTTCACAGAAATTCAGATGAAGATACATTTGGTCACCTGAGTAACAGGGTCCCTGATCGTCTCAAGGTTTACATAGGTTTACTACCACTTCTTCCTATCAGTTGCTCATTTGCTCAAGCTACTTTCAATTTTTTGGTTGAACTTAGAATAAAATCCAATAACACATTGAATCTTCCTGGTCCTTAAGTGTGCTGAAATAAATTCTAGTTAAGATTCTTATAAATCCGAGTGAATTTAACTAAATTTGTAGTTTGGCAAGAACATTTGTCAGCATGAATTTATCTGCCCCTTGAATAAGGAACTAGCAATTCATTTTCATACTTTAGACTAGTATACCCATTACTTTCAGAAGAGTTGGACACGTCTACTATTCTGTATATCTCCAGTATATATGGAATTCTTTTGTTTTGATTTTTTTCTTTCCTCATTTTTCAATTTTCAACACTATTGGTTGCTGTATTCCATGCACTAAATGCATTATCGGTATGTATCTTTTCTCTGCAAAAAACAAAACAAAACCCCATATTAAAGGGAAACAAATATTAACCCATTCCCTCTATCAAAGGTAACAATAATATCTCTTGAAATTGTCTTTAGGAGCTGGTGACAAGCACTCCTTGTCCTGGGATTTTTTTTAACGTTGACCCTTTTTGTGGCAGAGGTCTTTAGCCTTAGGAAATGTGGCTTATTTTAAAGGCAAAGCTAAATGTTTCATTTTGCCTTGTTCTATCAAATCAGACTTTAATCTTAAACTCCAATTTAATACAATTATATTGTGATAAGACTCAGGCATTTCAGAAAAAATATTCTATATGCTTTAAGTATCCCACCCATTCCACTATAGTTTGATGTTTGGAACACAATGGCCTGCTAGTTTCTCTCCTAACATTTTAAAAATCTATTTTTACTTAGTTTCCCTGTTTAATTGAAGAGCTAACCTGGCTGATTCCTTAACAAGGAGCGTCACCAGTGCTTGGTTAACAATATGTTTGTTGGATCATTTCATCTAATTTAATTTTACTTAGATTGGAAAATAGCTAATTTGAGTTTAATAATTATAGAATATGTTGTATCAGAAGATTTTGGAAGATAATTTTTTAAAAACTGGCTAGGAAATAATGCAGAAATGAATTTAGATTAAATGACAATGAAACCCCAGTTCTGCCAATTAAAGCTGCTGTCTTGATAGTAACTTGGTTTCTTTGAACTTTAATTAGAATTTAATATGTGGAAAAAATGGGAGGGCAAAATCCTCTCTGAGCTCTGTTATGGCTTGCATGAAATTATTTCCCTAATTAGTAAATAAATGCAAACAACATGAATAAAGGGAAATCTGAATAGTCTCACCTGTTTTGCATCATCAATTCTTGGCATCCTCCAAAGTATAAAATGTTACTAATACCGAAAGGACTGTCTCATGCATTGCTAAACAATTATTGAATGAGGATGGTCAAAATAATTCATATCTTCCATATCTTAGCTTGAAGATTCAAACACCGCAATTAATATCTCTCTTCTATGGTAATTTTTGGGAATCCTGCAAGTCTTGTATTTTTGCTTCAAGCAGAGATCTCATTTATTACATTTTGCCCATGTTAACAGTTAAATTGTTGGACTAAAATAAGGATGATCCAGGTTCAAGTCTACTTTCATCCTCTCTCAGCTCAACTTACTTTTAAGTTGTGTGGGACCTTGGATGAGGGAGTTGTACAAATGTCATCTGGAAAAGTGGGATGTCAAGTTCCCCTACCACTATTTTTGTGTTTTTCACATGATGTATTTGTTAAAACAAAGGAACAGAATAAATAACTACATAAAAAAGCAGAGATGTAGTAATTAAGAATAAAACATCAGTATGGTGGGAAGCTTTTACAATGCCTTTGTTGAATTTCACACAAGGATGGGGGTCAATTGCTGATTAT